ATGCTCCTCTTCAATAAATAGTCATTTGAAACATCTTAGCATGTTTTTCCATTCAGCTCAAACAGTAAAAATATAGAAAAATTCCCACAGAAACATAATTCGGCTGAGAAACAAAAGAAGAAAAAAAAAATGGGTTGGGGTAAGGAAATTGATTGGTCTAAAACAGGGCTTCTTAAACTTTTTTTTCAGTCGCGACGCCAGGACCCCAAAATATTTACAAAAATTTTGTGGGACCCCATAAGCATTGCGAAAATCCGACAAACGTTAAATGAAACTCAATTTTTTCACTTGTACTGTAAGATACTATTGCAGTTTTAAGTCATAAACTTTATTTTAAGACAAAGAACAATGTGAAATTTTTTATTAAGTAACAGAAGAAATAACCGCATCATGTGCAAAGGAAGTAAAATTAACATTTATATTATAAAAAGAATGCGTCGAAACGTTTTTGTTTTTCTCTTTGTCTGTATTGTCTTTATCTATTTTTAGATACATTTTGTAAAAATATTTGGTAATTGTAAAATTATTGTATTAAGTTAAAGAAATACCAAAACTTCTAAAATTTTTTGTTACCCTACTGTAGATGGGGGTCGCTATCCACAGTTTCCAAAACACTGGTCTAAAATAGCATTACAATATTTGACTTTGTTAGAACATTGGATAACTAAGGCCACAGCCAGTGCGGTTATGGCAGGTGTGCAAAATTTTGGAATTTACGAAAACACCAAGTAGTAAAATTTTTGGAATTTAGGAATGGAAAATTTTTTAGTATTTAAGACCCTCAGAGATTGCATAGCACAGCAAAATGTACCTGCTGAAGCTAAGACTCCAGTGCATGGTTATGTTCTTGTAAGGAGTGTATGCCTGAACTCAGAGATGCAATTTGAGTCAGGATCGCTAGGTCACCAGCCTACACAGCATTGTGTGACATGTCATTTATGTAAATAAGGAATAAAATTGATAGCACATTAGTTAAAAAAAACCTAACTCATTAATTGTAAGTGTTATGCGAGAGTAATATAACTGTGGAATAAGAATACAACACTTACTTTCTGTTCAACTGGAAATGGGATAGATCTTCTAGCAGTTATTCCGGCAGAAGTTTTAAGGAACGGATCATTCTGTATTTAGTTAGATAATCAAAATACACAAGCTATGGACATGGACATAACATAGTAAACCGTAATTCACTTTTCACATCGGACAGCCAATGTTTATCCATTTTCACATAAGTCGTACTTTCCCGTAATTTTGAAAATACTCTGTTGCATGCTATTCTATTGAAGACAAGTCTGAAATAATTTTTTTTCAAACTGCAATTGATAACTTGTACTGTTTTTTACAAAATTTAAAACTGGGAGTCATGAATAAATTTGTGGGGTTCACGAAATTCAAAGAAATTTATTTGGCAATAAAAGATATAGGGAATTTGAAGAGAATTTCGGATATTCTTTAACATTTGCCACGAATTTTAAATTAAACATTTTCATATTTTGATTTTATTGTTTTTCATTTGATTTGGGTGTTCTGCTTGATGATTTGCAAACAGCTCGAATTGAATTCCAAAGCAATTGCACACGCGCAGCTAAGATGTAGTTTTTTCGGCTATCTTAGTAGTGTCTTGCATACAATTTATAACTGTAATACACATCGTTTATAAACTATATTTCTTATTTCTAATCAAATTTATTGTCAAGTAAGCGCATAACATTTCCTAAGTATTGGAAAATTCAGTAGCATCTCGAAAGTTCATAAAAAATATTTGTTTTAGTTACAAATTTGTTCATGAGGATTTAATAGCCCAAAATAGATACATAATGTTCACAAGAAAAACGATGGACCAAGATTCAAATAAACTCAGAGAAAAACTTTAAATGAAAATGCAAACAAAAATGAATCCACTGGCTCTCTTTCTACTTCTAATAAAAAATTGAGTAAATACCAAGAAGAGTTCATTTTATACTGTTTTACATATTGCATTATCAATGGAACGACGTCGTGATTCGGATCCGTAAGTCATCGAACTCTGAACATAAAGTTGTTCATTACGACAGGTTAGCTCCTTACCATGGCCATAGTACGCAGTGTATATAATTGTAAATAGTATACAGCGTTTTGTTTCTAAATGTGCATTTGATTTGATTTGTATTTAATATTTGATAATATTTAATTTGTTTTAAGTTACTTATTGCAATTATTTTTATGTCGTTTGTTATTGTAATGTAATGTTTATTATTGCGTTGATGGCTTAGTTGTAAGTTTCGCTTCCTGTCCAGGGATTGTACTGTCCGGGATGTGCAGTCCATGGGAAGGGGGGCAGTGTTCTGGATTTTGTATTTATTTAGCTATTTTTAGTACAATTTGTTATTAAAATTGTCTTATATTCCCGTGCAATACAGCACGAGACTTATTTGAAGAGAAAGTTAGACTCGGAAAAATTAAAATACAGGAGCACGCGAATTTAACATTTTAATAAATAGATATCTCGCAACTGTAATCTTTCGCTATCCATAAAAATCGAGAAAATACCAGAAAATTCTGGTACGTAATTTAAAAGCTTATAAAAGCTGGAGGAAAACATTTCAATTCAGTTTGTTTACTTAGTGCAGTTATTGATTGTAGCGAATTCGTGGTGAGATCGGATTAGCTTTTTCATTGTTTTTGAATTGAATTTTATTAAACGTTTTAGTAGTTTAAAATATAACTACTGAGAGATATTGCTATATCGTACAATATCTCTGAGGAAATTTCAAAATTTTGTTTTATTTGTCGTAATAAGAATAAATTTTTATTAACTTTTTATCGACTCGTGCATTCAGTCCATTACGAACCCGTACGCATGCAACAGGATTTAGTATTCATGATAATATTATATTCGTATACTATATACCAAAAATGAGTTTTCGAATAAATTTTACGATTTTTTACCATCAAATGTTTCAGTTCGTATGCTCTAGCTTATATGTTTCTATATAGAGGCTCCCGAATATATCTTCTTGTGTGTCTGGGTAAAAGCGGATAGCCAGGCAGGTTGAAGAACTTTAAAGCTCTGAGTTGGGATGAATCAAGGTTTAGGCCTGGCATGTTAATTTCCTGTATTTGATTCAGTTTGAAAGTGTATTTTGGTTATCCACAAATTAGTGAAGTTTTTTATTGTTAAATCTTTAAATAGTGTAACCGTCAGGTCGATGTGTTAATAATTAGTTAAAGTTTTTACTTTAAAATTGTGAGGCTTTTAATTAGCAGTCAGAGCCGCCCAGACGGCAGAGTGGTTAGTGTAGCCTCACTGCGATACCGAAGGGCCCGCGTTCGAATCACAGAGAAGGCATGAATGTAAAATTGTCTGTCCCTTCATAGGAGGTAAAGGTGGTCGCCTATTAGGTGCCTCCACAGTAAAATGGCCACCATTTCCGGCCTTAGGAGTGCCAATGCCGTTATAGGCAAGTGGATAGCAAGCCATTGGAAGAAAAAAAATAGCAATCAGAAGGGACGAAAAGTCGCCCCGCAGTTTCTTGTTGTCGTGGGTGAACAATAAACAAGAATATAGGGGCAAGTCCCTATTTAACATTGAGTAAACGGCTATCTCGTTAAACTGGCGATATATCGTTAAGCTAGCGACAGTTTTGGCGACTAATTTTTGTAGCCAAATTTAGAGAAAAATCGCTAAAAGTAGCCAAACTTGGCGACATTTTCGTACGGTCTCTCTGCATAACTGCAATTGAATAACTGTAATTGATGCTATATGTACCTGTAACCGTATCTGGCCCTCATATCACCCAGTAATTTCGAGAAGTACTAGAGATTTCTCGGAGGACGGGGTAAAACTATATAAGACCTGAGAGAGCATCAGTTTCTCAGTTGTTGTTCAGTTGGGCTTGAACTCAGAGTATTGAGACATTTCCCTGTTAGCTTCGCTCTTTAAATGTGCTTTGTATTGCTTTGTGTTTAACGTTCTAAGTAGTTTGAAGTGTAACTACTGATTGTGTGATACTGTGAAGAGCTGTCTGAATATTTTTGAGGAAAGTTCCAGAATTGTTTTGGTAAAATAAATTTTATCAAGCTGTCATCGGGTCTGCGTGTATTCAATCTATCAAGAGCCCGTACGCACGTAACAGTACTTTTAACATTTGTTCTTTGGCTGCTCGATTTATTATAAGTTTGTTATCACAGACAGAGTTACGGTGAAGTTTAACCCAAAATCTGCTTCAAACTGATATTTGGGTACTCTATTTATTGTAAAGTATCATGTCAGTTCTTCATAACAGTAAACAACCGTCGGATGACTTTTTGTCTGGTCTCAAGTTGTAGCTAAAAATATGAGAACCAAGTTAAAACTCAAAATAAAAGTGTTTCATATCGACTTGATGGTTATACAAACTAAATAAAAATCTGACAGGAATCAACTTTTAACACTTCTCGTCGACTAACCTCATGAAGAAATCTCGGATAATAAATTCCCTGCAGTTAAGCAAATTTTCAACAACAGAAAATTTTAAACAGAGTAACAGTATTTATTACAAATGATATAGCCACAGTACTGAAATTAATTGTAACGAAAAATTAAATGATGAATTCTAAATAATGTGCACTTTTTTCCAAACTAAGTAATTTACTCCCTACCTTCTGAATTAAATAAAAAAATGTTTAAAAGATGCAAATTATCGCAGTCACAATTGTTAAGACAGCTGTTTTGGGTGGCACAAATTCATAATTAAGTACTCCACATTTATCTTAAATTATTTTTCACCATTCTCTATCATTATGGAAAAGCGTTAAAAGAAAATTTCATTGAAATTAGAATAATCATGTATGTGTAAAACAAAAGATATTCTGTGCAAAGACAAAAAAGCTAATTACAGTAATACTTTAATTTCTATATTTTATGCATGTAAATGCGTAACATGAGAAATTAGTTTATGAAAATTACATTAGTCTCATGAAAATGACATCAGTTTTATGAAAATGAGACATTAGTCCTGAATAGAAAACTGAATGAGTTTTCAGTCTACGATACTTATTTCTTGATCTTCTGGAGGCACCACTTTCACTCTGTAATAAATGCGCTTTGAGCGTATCCAGCTGTAACTGTTATCAAAGAGTATCAAGTCTAAAAAGAAAATACCAGAATTAGTTAATTATGTAATTCGTATAAGCTAAGAAATACATGAATATCGACTGATTTTCAAAAATTAAATATTGACATATAATAAAACTTCGCTATAGCGAATTTGGCTTATCACGATACCTTTAAATGGAAGTAATGAATGAAACTTTTGGTCTGGCTCAAATTCTTGCACGTATACACTAAAGCTATTAAGCTTTTATTTTGTTCACTCAAGGAGTTTCATTGTCAGTGGAATTTTCTCATTTTTACCAGCTTCATGATAAAATGTCGAGTTCAAATTCGGCAGGCACAGTGTTTGTCGATGACAATGACACGCGGTAAAGCGATTTTTTTTTCAAAATTCGATTTTACTTTAATATTTATTTAATGTTTAAACGATTTTAGGCACATATCTTCGATTAAAGAACCAATTAAGCATGTCAGAATTTTACTGTTTGCACCATTAAATGAATCGAAGAAAAAGTCTTTTCAGTGAAACTTGTACAGAAACTATAACTTCATTTCTGAATTGGTGGCGAATCTTTGAAAATCGCTCGATTTTATAAACTATTTACCGTTTATGATTTTTAAATTTCCACATCTAAAATGTATCGGATATAAAGTTTCAAATTATAAAAAAAACTTTTCGCCCTATTTTAAAATAAGAATGATAAAAAATATTAATTGAGGGATTTTCTACTTGAAAAAAAAATGTGTTACAGTCTGAAGCAGACGGGAGAATAAAGCGTTTCGAGTTTGCCATCACGGAGCATCTTGGCGATGCTCGTTTTTTCATTTTAGCTTCAAGTAAAATGCTCATTGTAACACTGTTATTACAACCATTTTCCGAAACTGAATATTCAAAGCGATCTGTTTATTCTCTGAATGAGGTTGAGTTATGCTTCTTTACTTTGTAATTTTATTATAACTTACTACTTGTATTTTAATAATGACTAAACATTTCATCATTGATAAAGTGTAACTGAGAGTAAAAAACAGGAAGTAAAGTACAATAAAACAAAACGTTTATACAATAAAAGCCTTTTATTTAAAATGGATATGATGATTAATACACTAAAAGGAGAAAAAGAGCTTGCCATGCAGTTTTAAGAGGAATAACAAATTAAATAACTCTATTTACAGAACTCATCTGCAATTTTATATCGCGAGTAATAAATGCGTGGGGTTCTTAAATAACGAAATATATTAATTCAGTTGCTTTGTGAAATGTAAAAAATCATCCTTTTCAATTTTCCATTAATTTAATTGCATTGTCAAATGTATAAGTCATTATTTTTTTTTTTAAATTTATCATGGGCGCCTCACGCTTTTATTATTCACCATATAAAATTATAGAGAAATTCTATAAATAGAATTACTTAATCTAATTACATAAAATTATATGATAATTTTTTTTTTCGATTTTAGTGCGTTAGTTACCATATCTAGTTTATTGTACAAAAACTTTAAAAAAAATATTTTATTTTTACGGCAAAAATAAATCTACAAACGCATAAAATTTCGAAATAATAAACAATATTGATATTTTTCATAATAATATTTTTTTCTAGATTTCCTGAGCTCTAGCTGTAAAATTATCAACCTTTAAGTATATTTAAGTTACTGAGACACGATAATATTTTTATATTTAATCTTCCTTTACTTTTGCTCTCTCGCAGTTTTGGTTTTTTGATGTAAAGTCCATGATGACAAGTTCTTCAAACATCCGTTATATCTTATTATTATTAATATTTTTTAGCAGTCTGAGCAAGTTATTAAAATTTGAGAAACGAGCCCAAATTTAGGGTAATTAACGTATTTAAACAAGAGAGCAAATGATATAATATTAGAATGCAACGGCAATCTATATTTCAAAATAATATCTTTTTCCTGATTTTCGATACCGTTGGTATATAAGAGATATACTCTCCTAATTCATTAATTCTACTTTCCTCCCCTTCTTCTACTACTTTATTTATTCTCTCGACGTTGTTTTTATGCCATTAAAGGTAAACCAAGTAGCTTTCTATTTAGAAACCAACTTAATGAAAACAGAGCTATTTTTCTCTAAAATTACCAACTAAATGCTTCTAATATACATTTACCAAAATTTGAATTTCCTTTTATTAAATCATAATCCCTCCTAATGAAATTGTGTTTTGACGTATCGGGGTTCGATAAAATTTTGAATATGTCATTAATACAAATTTACATAGATATAGCTTTAATTATATATAATAACGAACGGAATAATGCTTAAAGGTATGAATATAGTCACTGATGTTTTAAACTATTGTTATCAGTTTGATAACTATAAAAATATTTGAATAGAAAATGGAAGATTCAGCATTATTATGTATACTTACATGTGCCCACTTTACCGCACTTATACATTCCCGTTTGAGGATAATCGTTCGTATCAATTTTCTGCGTAGGAACTAATTCTATAACATTTTTACCATTAATACCCATTTCTTGGAATAACAGACCAAACTTAATATCCCTGCTGTTAGTTTCGTATTCCCATTCAATCAGTGAACCACATTTTTGCACTTCAACCGTTACTTGTGAGTAAGAACCTCGAGATAGCGTAATTTTTTTCACGCCTTCAGCTTGTGCTAAAGATTTTCTGCTTTTATGTATGTAATAACTCTCAGGTACTAGGTCACCATGATTTACCTGAAAGAATAAGACATAATTATCACTTTTTAGGAGTACTTCTTAAAATTTTATATTTAATGCATCAAAACACATTTTTAACAGATCAACAAGAAATTTTTTGCTAAAAATTAATTTCATTAAGAGTAAACTCGCTTGGCTCACTTAAAAATACGAAGACAGAATTAGAATAATCAAGCTATAAATTAAAATTGATAATTTTTAATATACGATTTTAATCGGCTAAGTACAATAAATTTAGTACAAATACTTTTAAAATGGTATGTTGTGACTTCACTATAGAGTTTTACTTTGATTAGATATGGAAAGAATGCTAAATTTTGGGGAATTCAAATCCTAATCCTCAAAAATTCTCTAAAATTCTGGAATCTCTAAAATTCTTCATAGAAGGATGATAATTATAATAGCAACAACAACAGCAACGACAACAACAATAATAACAACAGTAATAATAATAATAAAACTAGCTTTGCTAAATATAGAAAGGTTTTGAGATTTGCGTTTAATTACAGTAAACATTTATAACACATTTTTAAAGATCCATTTATATTTATGAATAAGATACAATTGAAATTCAGTAAATAAAAGCGCATATTTAAATCTTTTGAATTTCCCGTATTTTTTCTGGTCGCCAGCGGCCGAGTAGTAAAGTCGCTGAACACTGGCAGTTCAGTCCGAGGTTCGAATTCCGCGAACGGGCTGGCTGCATGGGCGATTTCGTTGTTTTCTCCTTGTTTAACATGTATACGAGCCTGTTTTTCTTAAAACGTCCTCCACGAAGGCATTCCTTCCCTTAGGTAGATACCTCTTGAAGCTTTGCCGTAATACATTACAACAACAAACTTACAACCTTAATTCTTATAACCGCTCCTGCTACTGAAAGCAACTGCGGCGTTTTGTAATGATTGCTGCCAGTAAGTGGGTTTGAACCCGTGCTCCTAGACACTCCGTTATCTCACTCGGTACTAGGCAGGAGGATACAAGTGTTAACTACTAAGGTGGGCAGAAGTCAATAGGTTAAAGCGAGGCAGAGTACGTCAGCTGAAAAAGGGGAGCCTCAAAGAAAAGCGAAACGGCTAAAAAAAGAGGGACCTTTCGGCTAAAAAAGAGAAGAAACAAAAAGTTAAAAACTTGTCTAAGAAGAGGAGAGACTTCACGGCTAAAAAAGAGAGGAGAGGGGGAAAGAAAATCTGAAATGTTTCAGATTTTAAATTACGTCCAA